GTGGCATGATTAATATATATAATTTATCTGAAATATATTTTTAAATTAAATTTTTTTCAAATAATGTTTTCTTGGTTTTTTTAATGTTATTTAAAATTTACTACATTAATTTGTGATTTTTTTTTTAAATTCTCTTTTCTTTTTTTCAATTTCAAACTTTGGTTATATTGTAATTTGGTCCTATTTTTTTTTAGTATTTTTTATTAATTATTTTTATTATTTAAAATTTACTACTTTAATTCATCATTTTTTTTAAGTCTCATCCAATTAATTTAAAATTATATTTACTAAAAAAAATTATTTATTTTTCTATATGTATGGATTTTGGAATAAATTTTTAGAACATGATTATTTTTTCTTTTAAAAAATAGATTTAGACAACTTTTAAATTATAATGGCATGATTAATATATATAATTTTTCTAAAATACTTTTTTAGATTACAAGTGTATTTTAAATATTTTTTCTCTTTTTTTAGAAAAAACTCAAATTAATTAATTAATAGTTGAAACTCAAATTAGTATAGTTTTTATTTTAATATTATTCATTCTTTTGTAAATAATATATAAAAATTAAATTCACATTTTTTCAAAAATCGATATTCTCATCAACATTTAATTAAAAAAATTATTTATCTAATTTTATGTAAGCTTTTAATAATTTTTATTTATGTTTTTCGACACAATCCTATGAAATACTAAAGCTTTATTAAAAAAAAATTATTTAATTTTCTTTTTAGTTAATAATTCATGGATTAATAAGGATAAATCCTTTTTCTAAATGAAAAATTATGAAAAACACAAATAAGAAATAGTTAAATACAAAATTTTTATTAAAAAATTATAAATAATTTTTTTACTTTTGATTTCATATATTTTTATAAATTTACATCATAAAACAGATTATTAAATTAAAATAATTTTTTTAAATAATTTTATATATTTTATCCAATTCGTAACTTGAGGTGGACAAATAAACTAATTAAAATATTAAACAAAAGAAAAATTAATCTTAGAAAGAGTAGGTAGAGGTAATTAATCATTTGCAAACGACGCTATAAAGTCAAGAAAACGAGTCAATTTGTTGAATGAAGTTTACCAGCGCAACTTTGTTGAATGAAGTTTACCAGCGCAACGGCCACGGCATAATAACAATCACAATCACTGATTCCTCGTCAGCATTCTCAAATCTTTACAATCAATTTCGCATGTAAGTCGTTGCTATGTGAAATGTTGAATATTCTGAAAAATTAAAGCCGACCATTATATATATATATATATATATATAATTAAAAAGTGAGCAACTGAAAAATCATGAGAGTTCCAATGGTTTACATTACTATACTTCTCTTTTGCTCCTCTTTATTGTTTACTGTAGAAACAGCCACAGCAATTGACACAATAAACACAACTCAGTCCATTAGAGATGGAGATACCATAGCTTCAGCTGGAGGAACCTACGTATTAGGTTTTTTCAGCCCAGGCAAATCCAAAAACCGATACGTGGGGATATGGTATGGCAAAATACCTATCATCACGGTAGTTTGGGTAGCCAACAGAGAAACCCCCTCAATGATTCTTCAGGTGTTCTAAGACTTACCAACCAGGGAATTCTTGTCATTCTCAATCGTAGTGGGAGCGTAATTTGGTCTTCCAACACTTTAACACCGGCACGGAATGCAGTTGCACAGCTTTTGGAGTCAGGAAACCTTGTCCTGAAGGAGAAGGGCGATAATAACGTAGAAAATCCCTTCTGGCAGAGCTTTGATCATCTAAGTGATACACTACTGCCAGAAATGAAGCTAGGACGGAATAGAATAACAGGAATGGACTGGTCCATGACATCATGGAAGTCACAAGATGATCCTTCCAGAGGTAACTTTACATATATATTTGTTCATTATGGATATCCTGAGATACTTATGATGGAAGGTTCGAAAGTGACGTACCGAAGTGGACCCTGGGATGGTCTGCGTTTCAGCGGTATACCTCAATTAAAACCAAATCCCATGTACACTTTTGAATTTGTTTTTAACGAGAAGGAGATATTTTACACTGAACATCTTGTTAATAGATCAATGAATTGGAGGGTAGTGACAAGTCAGAATGGTGATCTCGAGAACCTCGCATGGATTGAGAATACAAAAAGTTGGTTGCTTTACGAAACAACTAATACAGATAATTGTGATCGTTATGCACTATGTGGTGCAAATGGTTTCTGCAAAATTCATAGCTCTCCAGTGTGTGATTGCTTGAATGGATTTGTACCAAAACTTCCAAGAGACTGGGCCTTGACAGAATGGTCAAGTGGTTGTGTCAGAAGGACTCCACTAAATTGTTATGGAGATGGGTTCCGCAAGCTCTCTGGAGTGAAGATGCCTGAAACAAAAGCGTCATGGTTTGACACGAATATGAATCTTGGGGAATGCAAGAACAGGTGCTTGAAGAACTGTAGCTGTACAGCATATTCAAATTTGGACATCAGGAATGGAGGAAATGGGTGCTTGCTCTGGTTCGGTGACCTGATTGATATAAGAATTGTTGTTGGAAATGAGCAAGAAATTTATATAAGGATGGCTGCAACCGAACTAGGTATGAATTTGTCATTAGTACAAAAAAATAGTATCTCTAGTTACTTGTGAAAAACAACTTTTACGTTTGAGTTATAATTCAAAATTGCTCTTTGTAAATAACTTATTAAAAACAGAGTTAAATTAAAAATATGCTTTGTGAAAATGACTTACTTTTTTGAAAAAGGAAGGCATATATAAAAATGAGAATTTATTAGTTAAAAAGTTAAATTTTAATGTAGGAAAAGCTCTCAAGTCCTAAAACCTAATACACCCAATAATCTCACATTTGGCATTTTTAGTATTGTCTTTAAACGTTAAGTTTTCTCTGACATACTGTAGGTAATGGTGACGGTGCAAAGACTAATGCTAAATCCAATATGAAGAAAAGGATCGTATTAAGCACTTCGTTGTCTTCGGGAATTCTGTTCTTTGGCCTAGTTTTTGTCTTTTATATTTGGAAAAAGAAGCAGCAGAAAAACGGTACGTAATCCGCTCCATGAACATCTAATTAACTACTCCTATCTCTCCATCTCTCTCAGATTTTCAGCTAGCAAGTTTAATTTATTGGAGTAATTAATCTAAGGCACTCAGAAATTGTTAAAAAGCTCGTTATACTTGATTTCAAATCTTTGAAATTTGATCAAAACTTAAAATTGAGATCTCCGGTTTTATTCATGCCTATTCTGCTTGCAGGAAATATTAAAAAGCAAAAGAAGCAAGATCTGGAATTACCATTGTTTGATTTGAGTACCTTGGCTAGTGCAACAAATAACTTTTCTGTGGACAGTAAACTGGGACAAGGGGGCTTTGGACCTGTCTACAAGGTACTAATCTCTTAAAAATCATGCAAAACTTTGAAGAATTCCGAATTTCAGGATACAATCTCCTGCCACCACTGTAGTTCAGGGGCAGTAGTTTCTTTGGAACCATTCAACAACAGGACTGACCTTGCCAACCAATAGTGCTAGCCAGCAAACCATGATTTTCAACTCTGAAAAGATAAAGTATATCTGCTTATCATACTGAGTGATTATTTGCAGGGAACACTGACAGGTGGACGAGAAATTGCTGTAAAGAGGCTTTCTAAGAATTCAAGACAAGGACTTGATGAGTTCAAAAATGAAGTCAAGTGTATTGTGAAACTTCAGCACCAGAATCTAGTGAGGCTTTTAGGATGCTGCATTGAAGGAGATGAAAATATGCTGATCTACGAGTTCTTACCAAACAAAAGCTTGGACTTCTTTATTTTCAGTATGAATCTCAAAAAGCATGAACATATCTATTCTAATCATTACACTTTAGCATGGCACCGTACAAACACCAAAGCCAACAATATGAGAGTCATGCATTGAGCAATGACCGAAAATTAAGTTTGGTAGCTAGATTAATTGGGAACAAAAGTTATGAGCCTCCACGAACCCTTTAGGTCAACGGATTTGTGGGGAAGAGTTTTTTCCGCTTTCATTGTCATGCAAGCTGCCATTAAATTTGTGATTATCACTGAAAATTTATCAAGTATTAATCATCACCACCTGTTTTGTTTTTCTTATCATACATATGAACTGACCTGAGCAGAAAATTGTTCAGATGAAACACAAGAGAAGCTACTAGATTGGCCTACACGCTACAAAATCATCAATGGGATTGCCCGTGGACTTCTTTATCTTCACCAAGATTCAAGACTAAGAGTAATTCATAGAGATTTGAAAGCCAGCAATATTTTACTGGATCCTGAACTGAACCCAAAAATCTCAGACTTTGGCCTGGCTAGAAGTTTTGGAGGAAATGAAACTGAAGCCAATACTAATAAAGTGGCTGGGACATAGTAAGTGCCGCCTCCACCATGCATAGTATGTTTTTATCTGCATTTTTTTGCAAAAGCAACTTAACATTTGATGAATTGATTTTATGCAAATTCAACTTAACAATCTATGAGTATGTGCAGTGGCTACATATCTCCGGAGTATGCGAATTATGGAGTCTACTCACTTAAATCAGACATCTTCAGCTTCGGTGTGTTGGTGCTAGAGATAGTGAGTGGGAAGAGGAACAGAGGATTCTGTCATCCAGATCATAATCTCAACCTTCTAGGGCATGTACGTTTCAAAATCTTGTTACTTTTACTCTTCATTTCAGTTTACTCTGCGGTACCTGCATGTCAGGTTCCACCAGATGCTTGGACATGTTTGTTGACATACACTTCAAACAAACCAAATAATAATAATAATAATAATAATAATAATAAATCAATTCAGACAAGATTAAGAGTGTCAGGCATGCCCCATTCTTGGATTTGAACATAGATTAATGGGATCATTTTCTTCTAGATACGAAATCTGTGACTAATAACATGGTTTTGTTCATCAGGCTTGGAGACTCTTCCAAGAAGGGAAACCACTGGAACTGGTTTCGGAATCAACAGTTGAAACATGAATTTATATGAAGTGCTTCGTTCAATTCACGTGGCTTTACTCTGTGTGCAAGAAAGTCGTGAGGCTAGGCCAAGCATTTCATATGTGGTTTTGATGTTAGGTAACAAAGATGCATTGCCACAGCCTAAACATCCAGGTTTTTTCATTGAAAGGGATACTATTGAAGCAAGTTCCACAGGACAGAGCAAGCCATCCTCAGCTAATGATTGCACGGGTTCAGTGTTACAGGCAAGATAGGTTGACTGTGTGCTGATATTTTTTGTGTAGCCTTCATGGATGTGATCGTGTATACACAGAACCTGCACTTCTAACGTTGTGTGGTGAAAATGCATTTCCTAAGCCAAACAACCATGTTTTTGTTTATGATTTGGTTGAAGCAAATTCTTCATCAACAGTACTGAAATCATCATGCTCGGTCAATAACTTCAGTATCATAATACCCGAGGCAATAGAACTTTGGTATTTGTTTTTCTGTAAAAATATTTTTTGTTTATTGATGCTTGCAAGTTAAAACTTTATGGTGATAAAAAACCATATAGAGTACTTTTTATGCCAACTAGTTGTTATAGAACTTGCGGTGGTGATTTTTTTTTTTTTTTTTTTTAAAGATGCGTGAAGGATTAATATATTAACAAAAAGCTTAATGTATCAAAAAACAAAATCACAAATTTTATATTTTTTAATCATATTATTATTATTTTTTTTTTTTTTTGAAAAAAAATGAATTAATTTCTAATAATCATACTAACACATAAATTTTTTTAATTTAAATTTCCATCAAAATTAAGGTGGCATGTGATGTAATATGATAACATGACTAAATTTACCACATTGGATTCTAAGTAAGATCGACGTAGCCTGTTAACTATTTAATCATAAATTATATGTCAATCACTACCTTTAACCAAATTAAAATGAAAAAATCCACACCACCTAATTGAAAAAGCATTAACCCTTCCAATGCAAGACCTAGTGACACTTTGCACTGGACAGATTTACTGGTGTCTTGTTCCAACCCGGCGATGACTCCGATGACTAATCGCTCGCTGACGATGACTGATCGCAATTTTCACAATCCTTGTCGGAATCAGCACCTCTCACCAGCGACATTTCTTGATCTGACCTTTAGTGAGGCATACTACTAATCGAGCGGGGATATTGCATGTAGAATTGCGTTGGTTGCTTTCTTCGACGACCGGAGAAGATTGTTGAGAACTAGGAAGGCGAAGAAAAAGGTGACGCCTCTATAGAATCACGAGAGCCGGTAGAGTTTGTATTGAATTCGTTAGATATAGACTTGAATAGGTTGGGAAAAAGCGAGAATTTTTCGCTTTGCTTCTTGCATGCTACGGTTGGGGTGGTTAAGTAGGGCCCAACTTAGGAGTGTTGTAGGAACAGAGGTTGTGGTGGGACCAAAAGGAGAAGAGGTCAGGCTTACGACTAGCACCATAAGGAGAAACGGAGCGAAGAAATGTTAAAAGAGGTGGTTGTTGTTGACGTCGAGAATTAGAATCTGATTTACGACTTTCATCTGTTACCCTCGCGGCGCGTGAGTGATGATGTGCCTTTGCTAATTGTGCTATTTGCTGTTGCTAATTATGACAATTTGGATCTTGATTTTGCATCCAAGTCGAATTTGGATCTTGATCTTGATTAACTGTACCCGATTGATAGAAATGTTGATGGAAGGGAATGATTTTGAATTGGCAAGATTAGGATTTTTGCAGTTGAGTTTGGAGATTTTTTTTTAATTGGTCCAGGAAGAAAATGATTTATATGTAATTTATTATTGGGTAGTTAATAGGCCATCTGAATTCTACATGACAAATTTAGTTATGTTGTCTTACTTACTACGCAGCGCGTCCATTTTGATTAGAATTTAAATTGAAAAAATTCATGAATGTTAATATAATTATTAAAAATTTAATTTATAATTTTTTGATTTAAAATAAAAAAAATACTAATATAATTAAAAAAAATATAAAATTTATGAGTTTTTAGTACATTAAGCCTCGACAAAACAACTAAAACTTAATGGTGGAGTAATCCTAGAAACTAACTAGGCATCCACGTAGTAAGCCTTAACAAGATTAGACTTCTTGTATTTTAGTCCATGAGACATGACAATGTCTACCAAATTTCCGTGTCATTTGATTCTTGAAAATTATGAAGCAGTGGTCAGAATTCGAGTCGAAAACCAGACTGCGTTCAAACACAAAACATGTCTTTCTCATGAATTTTCATCGTCAATTAGCTATTATTCAAAAAAAAAAAAAAAATTGAGTTTGAAAAGGAGTTTTTCAATGTTGATTACTCAACGTCAAGGGTCAACCAACTGCAGATTACCAAGAAAATTACCAACTAGTTAAATTGAATATCATTGAAATTCTCTCATGATTGAAATATTCCCTCATTTTTCATATTTAGAATGTAATATTTCAACTCTGCTAATTTCCTATTCGTCATTCAGAGGATGGAGATCAGTTTTGAAAACTATAAGAGAAAAGAACTGAAAATTCCTAGTAGTTGAGGAATTGCCAGGTCTCTAATTAACCACACATATTTGAGATTTTTTTGCTCTCGAAATTTACTATATGAGAGAGTAAAATAGTTTACTTAGATTGATGCTATTGAAAATTTTATGCTAAAAAAGATTAAAAAAATGAGAGGACCTTCGGATGGCATTCCAATATTTCTTTTTAGCTCCGCTTTGTTGATAATCATGACAGTGTCCTCTGCAGTTGGCACCATAAATACAACTCAATCTCTCAGAGATAGCAAGTGATACCAGTTCGTGAAAGGATGTATTTAATCAGATCAAGAATCACGTAAACAATAATGGTCTAGTCTTATTTATATGCGGTTGAGAGTGCAGCTATATGTATTTAATTAATTCATGCATTAGTCACAGTTATCTTGTATTCAGCTGGTGTTGGCATTAAATTGATACATGAATCAGGAGTTATTAGTTTAAAGCGCATGGTCCGTCCTTATTCCTAGGGAGTTTCTCCACAATAACGAGCAATAAACCACTCCTCCCTCCGATCTTTTACACAAGCACATCCTTCAATGGACTCACAATATGGGCTACAAAAGTATATACTCAAGCCCTCTTTCTAATCTCACCATCTCCTTAAGTCAAACAGTGAAAAAAATTTAAAAGGTTGAGTTGGAGTCACCCAAAACTACAACAAAAGTGATCAAATGTAGCAAAAACTTATGCTTGTATGATTCAGCATGCATGTTGGGACAATAATATCTAGCTTCTCCTCAGCCATGTCAGAGAGGAGTTCGTTAATCTTATCATTAGGATTAGTAAGAACTTAAAGAAAGTCCCCCCTAGTGAATCATACAATCCTATTTACTTTCGATCGCTACAAATCTCCACAAACACTTATTTAAGAATTTTTTTAACATTGTAGTATATATCTATAGCGCTTCTCCATAATGAACTAAAATCAGCACTCAAAATGAGATTGAAAATATATGTTGGATTTGAATCATTTTTTATAATTAAATATCTTGAACCATGAGTAAGAGATATTTTTACAGCTTAATTTATTGATTGTCATTTTGATGAAACAGTTTTTTCGATATTAGGGGAGAGAATAAGCAAAATAAGTAGTTGAAAATGTTGAAAAAAGAGATTACATAGAATACTCTATCTTTATATCAACTTGGTACAAAACAATGTAAACTACAAGTTCAAAAGATAATTCGTTTATAAGGTATTACGAACCAACTCGCTAGATGCATTCTCGTAACCTAAAAGAGTAGCTAAAATATATGTCTCTGATGAGAATGCTACTATTAAAATTGATGTCCTAGAAGGACAATCTATTAATGTTATAGTAGAGGAATCTAAAACATGCTTAAAGCGTAGAAGACCGATCAGTTCTAAAGATAAAAATTCTCAAAAGAAAAAGGCAAGATGAAAATATAAAAGATGCAAATATTCATAAATGGTCTAAGATATTTTTGATTATATGCTTCTAGAAGAAGTCCAAATTCTTGAGAAAAATCAAGAGACTTTGATAAATTACGTCAATATAGGAATAAACTAGGACCGAAAATAAACATTTATTCATAAGATTTTTGCATATAATATTTCAATTGATATCTTGAATAAAAATAAGGATCCTAGGCCTAAATTTATTAACGAATGTTGACATAGAGATGATTGGCCTAAATGAAAAAAGCAATCCTTGTAGAATTATGTTCTTTTACAAATGAGTAGTTTTTAAACCCATAGTCAAAACACGTGAAGATGTTAAGCTAGTGGGATAAAAATGTGTATGTATGCAAAAACGAAATAAGAAAGATGAGATTGTAAGATACAAAGTAAGACTTTTAACACAAGAGTTTTCGCAAAGAACTAACATGTATTATGAAGAGACATATTCTCATGGTTTTGTTATCTCGTTAGCTTGGAAAAATATATGAAAAAATTCATATGCATGCATTTAATGAATGTGATCACAACTTATTTGTTAAGTTAAAAATCATATCTAGATGAAAGTCTTAGAAGGACTTAAGATGCTTGAAGCATGTAATACATATTCTCGAGAAATGAATTCGGTTAAATTATAAAGATCTCTATCGAATTATTTTAGTATTAGTTTATTATTTTAGTTTTTAGAAATTCAATTCATGCTATACTTTTTACATTTATTTTTTTATTTTTCAATACTCTTTATTACTAACTCCGTGTGCATGTGGTATAATTATTTTAATAAATATTAATTGAAAGAAGGTTAAAAATAATCATATTTATTCATATATTTTAATAAATAAATTTGAAAAGAGGTTTATGATAGTTGCTATATATGATGATGATTTAAATATTATTGAAACTCTTGAATAGATTTCAAATGCTATAAGTTAGCTAAAATGAGAATTTGGTATGAATACCTTGGGCAATAAAAGTTTATCTCGAACTACAGTTCGAGCACTTAGAGAATAATATTTTTATTCATTAGTCAATTTATAAAGAAAAATTTCTATAATTATTCTATATAAACATCATCCATTAACTAACCCAATAGTAGTTTATTCACTTGATATCCAAAAAGGTCTTTTTCGACTTTGAGGAGATAACAAATAATTATTTGGTCCCGAAGTACCATATCTTAATGTAATTGGTGCATTGATATATCTTACTAATAATAATTAGCATGGTATAGCCTTTTCTATAAATTTATTAGCAAGACATAAGTTTTGCTCCAATATGAAAATATTGGAATAGAATTAAATATTTTTTACATTATCTCCAAGGAAAAATTGATATGATATTTATTTTATTCAAATGAATCACAATCAAGTTTAATTGGCTAATACGAAGTAGGTTATTTATCCGATCTATACAAAACTCGATCACAACGACCTATGTATTTACACTTGGTGGTATAACTATATCATGACGTTCTATGAATCAAACTATAATTGCTAAATATTCAAACCATGCAGAAATATCAATTCATGAGACAAGTAGAGAATGTGTTTAGCTAAAATCAACGATCCATCATATCCAAGAGACATGCATTTTATCTACCAACTAAAGAAGTTCCAACAATATCATATGAAGATAATGTTATTTGCATAATTTTATTAAATAAAGAATACATCAAAGTGACAATTGACGGACTTATTCTTTAAGGCATTACCTACCATAATTTTTGAGAAGATGATTCATAAAATTGAAATACATTGTCTTAAAGATCACAAATGATGTTTTTAACGGGGGAGGCCAACATTGAGATTAATATGTACAATGAATATTGTACTCTTTTTTCTTCACTCGGATTTTTTCCCATTAGGTTTTTCCTAATAAGGTTTTAACGAGACATGTTCCTTATACGATTGTCCCTTATACAATGGACATTCAAGAGGGAGTGTTATAAAATAATGAATGTCCATTTCATACTCATTACTACTCATATGATTCAATTCACCATTCAATATGAGAAATTGAAAGGGTGATGCAATTTATTCAATTATTTATGTATCTTTTAATCGTTCATAATCCTTTTAAATGTTTTTCCTAATTTTGAAGCCTAGAAATAGGCTTGATTGCTCATTAGTTCACTACCAAAAAAATACTAATTAGCAACGGATTTTAATCCATCGCTATTTAGCAAGGGATTAGAGATGGATTATAAAAAGTTATGTTTTGTAACGGATTAACGATAGACTAATGAGGGATAATTAGTGACGGTAAAAATTCCACCACTAAATAAGGCGAGGAAAAAAAGCACCAAAATTAGCAACTCGCTTTGTGATCTCTAAATGAAAAAATTAGCAATGAAATTTTTTTCGTCGCTAAAATTCTCAAAATTTAGTGAAGTTAGCGATAGATTCCAAAATCCATCACTAATCTTTGAATTATGACTCCAAAAAAGCCAAAATTAGTGACAAACTTCAAGTCTATCGCTAATTAGCGACGGACATCACTTTGTGCCTTTTTTCGAGGGAAATTCCCCCAAAATGGCCTAAAGTTAGCGACAAATGCCGAGTCCGTCGCTAAGGGTTACCGTTTTAGGGAGAAATTCCCCCTCCCAAAATGACCCAATATTAGCGACGGACTTGGAGTCTATCTCTAAGGGTTGAGATTTTTAGAAGAAATTTCCTCCCAAAATCCCAATTAGGTAGCAACGAACG